GTGATAATGAACCTTCACATTTCCCATGGCCCAGAGAGACAGATCCACACTCCACACCCTTTCTGGTGTGATCTACCCAGTCTTGTTGACTCTTTCTGTCTAAGAGGCACAGTCTCACTTTGCAAACCAGGTTGGTCAGGAACTATGTAGCCCAGGCCAGCTTTAAACTCACAAATCCTCCTGCCTCCGCTCATTGGGAGGAGCTGGGTTTAGTAGTACATACCTGCAATCCCAGTACTTGGGAGGCAGAGGCAGGAGGAATAGAACTTTGAGGCCAGCCTGGATCTGTCTCATTAAAATGAAATTAAAACAAAACAAAACACAAGGATTACTGGGAAGATTTCTAATCCCTTTTCACAGATGTTGCAAGCTGAGGTTCAGAGAATCAATCACTGGCCCCATGTCAAAGTGCTAGGACCAGACCTGCAGAGCAGGGCTTCTGTGGAAGTTTCCATCCCGGCCTGCTTTTGTTTCCAGTGGACACATTCTTCATAGGCCACTGCTCACCAACGCTCCCTCTGCCTGGCTATGTAGGTGAGAAGGCGGAGGGCTGGGAGGAAGATCATGCTGCACGTGGCCCTCTGGGGTGGGTAATCGGAAGTGCTTCTTTTCTCATGAGAGTCATCCCTGGCTGTCCTGTGGAAGCAGGAGCTGGTGACGATGGATGGAAACTAGGTAAAGATCTCAGGCCAGACTAATGGAAGTGCTACGGCAGATTTTCCACTGTTGAAAGAAACATCAGAATTCCCTCAAAGATCTCATTGCAGAATGCCCACCCGGCTGTGAAGGAAGCAGGAATAACTTGCTGTGCACAGGCGAGGGAACAATCTCTGGGCAGCCACATGGGAAACTGGGCTGAGACTGGAACGGGGAGGGGAGGGGAAAGCCAGCGGGTGGAAACTCAGTGCAAAGTGGAATCCAAACCAGGAGCAGTACACTTGACACACACTCAGACAGAGGGTGCCACTGCAGCCCGGGACTGCCACGTTCTCCTTGGGCACAGCCTCCTTAGACTTAGGAAAAAAGAGCATGTCCCTCTACCTGCCTGCATGAGAAGAAGTGGCGGCTGGGAGGGAAGCTCAGGTTCTTTCTGTTCCTTCTGTTTTCTGTCAGCAGTAGGGAAAGACATCCTAGCAAATGACATTCAGCAATGCTTTAATTAACTACAGTATTTTGTATTTCAAGATGCTGCAAGAAATCAATTCCAGATGGGCAAAAAGAAAGATACACCAAAGAATGATCCTTTTATTTGAAAGAAAATTTACATCTCCCAAAGGTGCGGAACTCTGTGGGTCCAACAGGCTTTGTTGATGGACAGTTAGGATGGGACTGGAAACTTTTATTTCATAAGTAAAACGTAATGGTTCTCTCCATGTCTGCTGGCTTTTCACAAGACTGTTTCCAAGGCTAAGGCTTAAATGGCCCAATGCAGTCAGTCCTAAGAGTTTTATTTTTGGGAATTCAACTTGGAATAGACAATAAGTGTGGAACTTGCCTTCCCCCTCAAGCAAGTTAAGGTTATTTTGAGACTTCTCTTCCTAAGGAGAGGAATGGTATTTCCAGCTGCGTACTTCTGGCACTTCCTTTAGCCTTCTGTAAACAGGGAGCCAGGCTTCCTTGTCCAACAGCGACTCAGGATGGGACTGTGTAATGCCTCAGTGCCAAGCAGCAGCCAGGACCTGTGCTCTCTGCTCTCAGTCATTTTTGATGGGCACCTCAGAGCCACTTGAAATGAGCACCTTTCTGGGTGCTGGGCAGAGTCTTAGTGCTGACTCTTTGTTCTGTCAGAGATGAATTTTCTTTTCAGAGATGGGCAAGTCTAAGGCCTTGTACCTGCAAGGCTCTATAAGAGGCCAGAGGTTCTTTGTGGCTACTGCTTTGCAGTTATAATCTAAACAAAGCTTTCTCAAGGCTGGCCCCTCTAAGCCAGCTACCTGTCCTAACAAAAGAGTTGCAGAGAACTGTTGTTTTTCTTCCACAGAATCTCACTGTGTAGCCTTGGCTGGCCTGGAACTCACAATGTAGACCAAGCTGGCCTCTAACTCAGAGGTCTACCTGTTTCTACTTCCCCAATGTTGGAATTAAAGGTGTGCACCATACACCTAGCTAGGTATATTGTTTCGAAGTGACAATAATAAATAAAGCTTCTGATTGAGTCACGGCCATGAAAACAAGAAGAACCCTAATCACTATGGGAAGAGCCCAGCTCTAGATACAGTCTTCATCTATACAAGTTTCAAATGAAAGCTGCTAGACACTAGAAAGGCTGTGCTGTTACCAGCTCAACTGTACAGCTACAGCCTTGGGTTAGACAGCCATAGAAACACACATTTGTAAAATTGGGATAGATGACTCCTTTTTAAAAAGTCCTTTCTCTTTTCAATGCAAGGGATGATAGAAGCGAGTAAGCATTCTACAGTTGGTCCTCTGTATCTACAGGTCATGCATCTGTGGTTTCAACCAAAGTTAGTAACAATATTTGGAGAGGAATAAAAAACCTGTTTGAACACATACAGACTAATTTCTCAGTTGTGATTAGTCCCTAAGCCATTCAGTATAACAACTATTTATTTCAAGGTATGCCAGTAACATACATATACTGCCAGTAGTTGAAAGGCCAGCCTTGGTTATAAGTTCAAGGTCAGCCTGGACCCCTTAGTGACTGAGATTCTGTCTTAAAAACAAAACAAAATAAAACCACTACCAAAACCCCAAAACAATAAATCTGTCTAAAACAACCCAACTATTTATGTAGCATTTACATCACACGGGGCATTATGCATACTCCAGAGATATTTAGTGTCAACGAGAGGATGTGCTTAGATTATTTACATACACTGCCATTTTATAGAAGGGACAGAGCATCTGCATGGGGTGTGTGTGGTCCTGGAATCAGTCTCTTGTGGAGACTGACAGCTTCTAAACATATAAACACCAGGCCTCACTGCAGAATTACAGAGCTAAGCCTCCAGACATCTGCATTTTTCAAAGGGCCCCAGGGGACTCTAATGCATTCCCCAGGTGAGGAACAGGCTGTCTGTACAGAACACACTGTATTCAGTCCTCATCAAGAAGACATTTAACACAACTCCTACTGACATCTATCTGATGGCTCCTCAGTGATTACCGACAGTGTAAATACATCAAGGAAGAAACCTTGCTGGCTGTGACCACTGACTGGGAGAAACAGCAGCTTGACATCTCAATGCCATCATAGAGATGGCTGGAAAACCAGCCTCTCATGAATGAACCAAAAAGAGAAGTGTAATAAGGTGTGTGAATATGGTGATATGTGGAGGAACCCACTGGCTTCGCCTAGGTGGGTGGCAGGTGGCTGAAATGGCTGTGCTGTTTGGAGACAGCCTGATGCCTTCTATCCAAAATATGGACAGGCCACAGAACTACCAGGCCCACAGAGCAGCCAGAGGAGTGCCACCACTGAGCACCAGAGAGCTGCGCTTGTCTAAGTTATGATGGATGCATCTTGACCAGGGGCGACACACCTTTTTCTTGCCAATCGTTTTCTTTCTGTTTAGAATTTCAAAATGCTCAATACATGAGTTACACTGACTAGCAAGAAGAGTTTAGAAGCTGATGAAGAAATGAGGCCCTAGGGCTGGGGGTAGTTTGGTGGTCAAAAGAACAAAAAAGAAAAGAGAAAGAGAAGAGACACAGGGCCCAGGACCAAGCTGAGCATTATGGGTAGCCAGCAATAACCAGATGAGTTTTTTTTTTTTTTTTTTTTTTTTTTTTTTGTTTGTTTTTTTACTGTGGTGGGGATGGAAGGAATGGCACTGGGATTGATTCAAGGACCCAGACTTTACTGTCACTAAAGGTGGTCACACTGAGGTAGTGGTCATGTAATCGAGCCTTGGTTTCAAATAAGCCGAGAGCAGGGTGATGCCTACCCTGGTAAGGTGCCCATTCCCTGGAGATGGGGTGATTGTCCCCTGCAGAGCTTCATTTCAAGAGCTGGTAGCAGGCAGCATGGGCAGAACAGGGTTGGGCTATGCTCTGGGCTGTTGTAGGGTCTGAGCCTGGGGTGCAAACTCAGTACTTACATTCCTAGGTGGCTTTTCTCGGTAGTAGTATGGACGTACCAATGTGGTGTCACGTACGGCCACCATGTTTCAGGGACTCTGGAAAGTACTCTAGACTTGAATGTATCAGGGAGTGGAAAGACAGGCGGGCAGACTTACGTGCCTTCCTTCCCACAGCCTCTGCCAAGAAAGCCAGAGAAAGCCCTTCCTTCCAAGGGAACTTCAGAAGATAGTCTTCTTAGAAGACTGTCCCCTCCCTAGGATCCAGGAGCAAAGTGAAGTGGACTGCACAATGTGTTCAAGTGAGCACGGAGAGTACCCCTCTAGGTCTGCCTCCACAGCTGCTCAGGAGCCAGCCACCGGCAAGACACCTGCTGCCCAGGCTGGGCACTCCAGCACTCATAGTCTGCCCCCTCAATGTGCAATAGAAGCACTGGGCATCTCGCTTCTGGGGAGTACATAGATGTGGGAGAACATGGGGATAATTTGGCCAAGTCATGGAAGACAGTGGATTAAGTCCTAGAAAGCAGCAATTAACATTGGACATGCCAATCCTTGCAGGGTCCTGACAAAGAGAGGCCAGTACCCCACTCTGTCATCTTCCACTTGGTCCACTCAGGCCCCAAGTCAATTCCAAAGACAAGTAGGGGAAAGTCACCCCTGGTTGCAGAGGCCTTGACCTCAAATACAGAGGGAGGAAATGGAGAGATCCAGGCTTCCTCAGACAAGCTGCAGGTACAGACTGGTAGGGCCCAGAGCTGGTGTGTGTGTGTGTGTGTGTGTGTGTGTGTGTGTGTGTGTGTGTGTGTGTGTGTGTGTGTGTGTGTGCAGTGCTACATGGTGAGGTGACGGGAGTCAGTGACAATTCAACCATCATAGGCAGCCTGGAGATAGGAGTGAACCACATGGACCTTTCACCCAATGCCGCCCCGGCTTCAGGAATGGGAAATAATCTAAAAATGCCTTTTTATAACCCAGTTTCATTCAGAATAAGACCGGGTATGGGAGAGAGATTTTAATAACCATAAACCCCAGAGGTCTCAAGGCAGAGGACCTAGAGTCCTGAGAGAGTTTCCAGAAAGTAGTTGCTCAGGGTCCCTGGCAGTGTCTGTATATACCTTACAGTCTCTTTTTAATCAGTTTCTCAAGTTTTCGGATGCGGGATGATTCCTGCTCTGGTGTTGGAGCCATGAGGGACAGTGTGCTGGAACTTTCTGTCCCTGAGGGTGGGGCAGGGAGCCTCTGCCTAAAAAGTTCCAGCATGCTGCTCTGCTCGCTCCTCTTCAGCCCCTGAGAAGAAAGGGAGAGAAGGGTGGTCAGGGGGTGGCCCCACAATGGATGGCAGGGGAGGAAGCACACCTTGGTCCTGCAGTTTGCCCAGCCTGGGCTCTGCTGGGCTAACTGCATAATGGCTAGAACCCAAGGACCTGGACTTCTTCAAGGCAATTACTGGTCCTAGATAGCACACTGGAAGATAAAACGGAGGAAGGAAAAGGGGGTAAAAAGGTAGGAGAGAAAGAAGGGTGGGAAAGAGAAGAGAGAAACAAAGCAGAGGGAAGGGCAATCCTGCTCTTCTTTGCACTGCTCCACTCCATCCTCCATGGGGCAGTGGCCCTCCCTTGGGCAGGGTGGTCCTCAGGATGCTGCAGTCTGTATGGCCAGGATCGGCCTCCAGGAAAGGGTCTCTGCAATCTGGGAGGCAGGGTGAGGCCAGAAACCTGTATTCTATATCCATATTCCATTCCTTAGGGTGGATGGAATGTACATAACGAGAGAGCTTACCTTCATGTCCAGTATTTTCTGGAAGGTTTCTGTGTTGCAATCCGTAAGGAGTTTGATGTAGTTGTCAACAAATACTACCAACGGTTCATGAGGGGCCATTACTACCTATCAACAGAGGAGACAAGAGTAGGTCCTTAGGAGCCCTTAGGCTAGAGGGCAGGCTCAGCTTTCCTTACTTGCCAGCTCCAACCCCATGTTCGGAAATGCTCTGAGGCTCATTTCAACTTGATGTTCAATTACAGCAGTATCCCCAAGAGTGGCGGAGTCACCATTATTGCCCAGACTGCTTTTTAACATATGGATCCCTGGCCCCGTACACCTGAGGCTCCTAATTCCACCAGGAGGCATGGAAGAGACCATCTGCTGGGGGATTTCATGGATGGTGGGGGTCTCCACTCCTTCCATCTGTTACTGAGAGGTGGAAGAAGCAGAAGGAGTGGGTGCCCATACATGTTCTCAGAAACAAAAATCCCAAACTGGCCTTCCTCTTTGGAAGACCTGAAACCTGGAACTTCATTTTGCCACATTCACTTAACCACCAACTAATATGCAGACAGATGGCATCACCATCCTCAGGTTCGTTTCATTTGGTTTTGGAATATGCTGATTTTTCTTCCTTAGTGGGCTGATTTTGTTTTGAATTCCTGAGAATGTACCAGAAAGTGGCAAGGAGCAGTTCCTTCAAAAGTCCTTTGCAGAGATTTCCCAAAATGCATCTCTCCTCCCTTGAGCAAGCTAGCTGGGGAGGACAGCCATGAGGCTGTTTGTAGTTTTCTCAGACACAGGATGTAGGTTTCCCAGGACCCTCATGTGGTTCAGATCCTGAGATCTGTAGCCAGGCCAGTCCCCTGCAGCCTTATTCTCCTGCCATTATTTGAGTCACTCTGGGAAATGGGCCAGAAGAGTCCGAAGGTGCTGGGTTCTCAGCTCTCCTGAGAACAGAGCCTTTGCTTCCCAGCTGCCAGCCTTTTGTGACAGGCCCAGGTGGAGATCAGAGGCAGGCATCGCTCGACCAGTGCACCAAGTCCAATCACTTATCCAACGAGGCTTTAAAAAGCCCATTTGCCAATTAGATTCAGTTACTACAACATCTGTTCAAAGTTCATGTAAAGGTGCCAAACATGGAAAGCCAAAGGCTTCTGGGGAAGGGAGTGACAGCTGGGCCTAAAATTCCTGCTGAGAGGCAAGGGATCCCTGAGCTTCTCTCCTGATTTGCACCTGACGCTCAGCTAGTAGAGCTTATTAAACAGAACTCACCTGTCAGAAAGGATTTCGGATCCCCAGGTAACTGTGCACTGATTTTCAACATCATAGAATGTGGACAATCTTGGGGCCCGAGGGGACAGGGCAGATGCTGTGTTTGCAAAACCCAAACTCCCTGGAACAAGAGATCTAAGACAGGACCAGCCCCTTGAACAGAGTTCTCTGAGAAGACACACCTTGAGGATCATTTCAGCCCGGGTCATGCCTTTCACGACAATCTTAGTGTAACTGGCAGGTGCCTTCCTCACCACCTGTGAGCCGATGGATGGGAGATCAAGCAGGACCATCTTCAGAGAGTGGGTGTCCAGCAGCAGCTGCAGACCAAGCAGAGCGTTATAGCCACTCTATGCAACAAGTATGTCCACACTGAGCATGTGTGTGCTACTCACTGTACACACGATCCCTTCCCATTACAGAAAATTTTGAAAACAGAACTTTAAAGGAAAAACAATAAAGTTTCCACTATCCAGGAAAAGCTACTTCAAGAAACTACAGTGAAATGTGGGTATAGTTCCTGCTAGCCAGTGTGTGTGGATGAAAACCTAGGTGGAATCATACTGAGTGTATGTCTGGCTTCACTCCCTGCTTTTTCTAGTAGACACACAAAGGGTTTGCATTTATTTCCCATCATGACAGTCTTTGAAAAATTACATTTTTTAATGGCTATGCAATACAGGCTATATTGTTTGAGTTACAGTAGCATTCTTCCATTTAATTCGTTCCCAAGATTTTTGTCATTAGTAACAGAGGCTGAGGGGCTGGAGAGACAGCTCAGCGGTAAACTGGTTTGGTTCCCAGCACCCACAAGGTGTCTCATAGCCATTTGTAACTCCAGTTCAAGGGGATCCTATGCCCTAGGCATGCACATGGCACACATGCATAAATACTGACAAAACATTCACTCACATTAGAGAAAAATAAAAAGTAAAACAGTAACAAAGCCCCAAAACCAGACAGCCTCATTATGGGTTTTAGCCTCATCAGCGTCGTCTCCCTAGGGGGCAGTCTATGGAACAGGCCAAAGCATAAGGTTATTTCCAAGGTTCCCAGGACATGTCTGAACCTTTTTCTACCTAGAATACACCTGTTTACAAAGCTACCAGCATCACAGGACTCGAAGACTGCACCCTCATCCAGCACAGAAAAACTCACAAAAATCTTACTTATTCATGAGGCAAAAAGTGGTAACTTGTTATTGCTTATTTAGAATGTCTCTAGATGCTGTCTGATGACATTTTAACCATATTTAATCATAGCTTGGCAACATCCACTTTTTTATTTGTTCTGGTCTTCTTGAATGCCAATCACCTCCTTACTAATGTCTAGAAATGACACTAGAAGCCTCCTCACATCATCTCTCTGAGGGTCCATCCTTGATGAGCTCATTGTTCCCAATTTTATAGAGGAGAACATCAGTGCTGGGGGGATGGTTAATAAAAAGCCACACATAGTTAGGATGGCTTGATTAGATGCCTCTACCAGGCATCTGATAACCAGTGGCAGGGAAATGCCCGAGGCCACGGGCTGGGGTCCAGCCCAGTGCAAGAGCACTTACTCAGCATGGGATTGAGTTTGATCCCAAGCACTGCAAAAGGTGACTGAAAAAAAGTGCCAAGAATGAAATGGCCAAAGTCAGAAAGGTATATATCTTCATCTGTTCAAATGGTTTAAGAGAATAGAGTCACTTCCAGCCTCAATAAGATGGAGTCAGTACTGGGATGACAACCCCCGCCCCCACCACTACCGCTAAACTCCGATGGTAGTAGTCAAGACATTTAGGACAAGGTTTGATGACCTGTTAGACAGCCTTTCAGAATTATAGTTAGTTGGCCAGGAGTGAGATTTAAGGTTCTGACACTCTGTGCCCTCTAGTTTCCCTTGGACTTTGGATGGGAGAATTAATAACTAAAGACAAACTAGCTACCGAGAGATACAATCAGCTTAATGGTTATAGTGATTATGATTTTGACAATGCTACAAGGATTTGGGAAATGCTAATGCTTAGTTCAGATAACCAAGACATATTACTTTCCACGAGTGGCAAAGAAAGCTACCGTAACAACAGGAATCTGTGTATAATGTATGTGCGTGCATGGGCTTGTGCATGCCATGGCATGTGTGTGGAGGTGAGAAGACAACCTTCCACCTTGTTTGGAAGCAGGGTCTCTCAGTTCTGGCTACTGCATTGTGTATCTGGTGCCAGGCTAACTGCCTTGAATCCCGGGGATCATCCTCTCTTGACCTCCTCTCCTGCCTTAGGAATGCTAGGATTAGAGATGTCCACTACCATGCCTAGCTTTATGTGTGTTTTGGCTATTTCAACTCAGGTCCTTTATGCTTGGGGGTAAGTGCTTTTGTCCTCTGAGCCATCTCCCCAGCCACCAGATCCTAAACTTCCTGAGTCACTCAACTGCCTGTGGGGCAGCACAGTAATCGTATTACACTTGTTTTTAGAAGGCGATTGGAAGTCGTGCACATTCATATTCACATGACTGTGTGTGTGTGAGGAGGCCAGAGATCAATCTTAGATGTCTTCTTGTTCTCCACCTTATCTGAGAGGATCTCTCACTGAACCTAGAGCTCACTAATTGGCTGGGCTGGTTGTATTCCCAACCCTAGTACTGGGGCTAAAGGCATGCTGGCTTTCTATGTGGGTTCTGTAGATCCCAACTCAGGTTCAAGGTGAATTCATACCACCACAGTGTTTAGTTTTTGGAAAAGCCATGCATTCGGAGAAGTATGTTCAACATCTGAGAGAATGGCACAGACTGCCAAGGCCCACATCATACATAGCCCAGAGTTACATACTCCCCAGAGTGCCATAGGATTTACATTGCTGCCCACACACCTCTAAAGAACAACTATGCTGGAGCCAAGCCCTGTGGTGCGCACCCTACAGCCCCAGCAACTTGGGAAGCTATTGTGGACTCAGGAGTTCAAGGCTACCCTGGGTAACATATCATGATCCTGTCTCAAAGAAAAAGAGTTTATGTGTAATTCCACATGGATTAGAATCTAGGAAATGAAAAAGAAAAGTTAAAAACACTTTTTTGAGTCCACTGGACTAGAACTCACTGTAGGGTCAGGCTGGCTTCAAACTTACTTAAATTTGCCTGACTCTGCCTCCCAAGTGCTGGGATTAGAGGCATTTGCCATCATGGCTAAAGATTGAGCTCTCTCTCTCTCTCTCTCTCTCTCTCTCTCTCTCTCTCTGTGTGTGTGTGTGTGTGTGTGTGTGTGTGTGTGAATGTGTGTATGTACGTGTACGCCCAAATGCACCCATGAAGGTCAGGGAAACATCAGGTTCTCTGAAGCTAGGGTTACAGGTGATTGTGAGCTGCCTGACATGGGTGTCATAAGCCCAGTCCTCTGGCGTGTGCTCTGAACTGTAGAGCCACTTCTAACAGCCCAAGACTTTCAAAATTTTAGTAGAAAACACAGAAACTGCTTTTATTGCTTGTGGGTAGAAAAGAATGCCAAATATGAAAAAGATTGAAAAATATATTTTTCTAAGTTAAGTTACATGAGACTTACAGTAAAACACAGATCCAAACCAGCCACAGGCTGGCGCTGTACTGAGACAGGAACGAGACACAGGCCATATAAAGACTCCCATGGAGTAAGAAGATGACCAGGGCTGGGTGTAGTTTAGTGCAGCGTATCTGCTGATCATGCACTCGGCCCTGGGTTCTAACACCAGCATCATGCACACAAAAGGTGCCGATTAAGAGCTCGTGGGAGATAGACAGAATTAGCTTCAGCCCAGGACAGCACTGGGGCTACACAGAGAGACTGTTTTTAAAACAAACATACAAACAAAACAACAAATATGTAACTTATGTCACAGGAAGAAATCCTGGGCTGTTATGTTCTTAATTTTTTGGTTGCTCTGACCAAATTCCTAAACTTAAGGGACAGAAGATTTATTTTGATGGTCAGTCCTGGAGTGGTCAGTCTAAGCTGCTTGGCCTCATGTGTTTCAACAGAACATTATAGTGGCAGCAGTGTGTAGCGGGGAGTTTCTTTACCTCATTGCAGAGAAGAAGCAGAGAAACCATAGCAAGATATACTTTTCAATGACATGCCCTGAGTGATGTACTTCTAGAACCTTTCAAAACAGTGTGTCCAGCTTGGAACTAGGAAGCATTTAACACATAAGCCAAAGGTGACTTCCATATTCAATTCATAACACTTGTGTTGGAAAGAACTTCCCTTTACCCCTTCTTTGCAAAAGCAAGGACTGGAAACAGCTCAGTGTCCATAAAAACAGGAATGAATAAACAAATGCTGGCATATTTATGCAATGGGAAATGATACCGAAGCCAAAATGAGTGAACACAAATGACATATATCAACACAAATAAATCTCAAAAAAATGTTAAGTAGGGAGAAAAGGCAAGAGAGGAAATGACATGTATAGTACAATTTATATAAAGCTTAGAAATAAGCAAAAATAATTCATGTATCATTTGAGGATATACACATGTATGGAACACCCAAATACATATGGCGAGCTAGAAACCTAAATCAGAATAGTGTTCACTTCTGGGCATGGGGAAGGGGAGAGGGAAGGATGGAAAGCCACAGGGGCATCAGTGAAAATTGTAATAACCTACTTTAAACTTGCAGAGGTGTAGAGCAACTGTGGGAACAGGGTACAAATTTCACTGACGGTGACTGGTCGCCGTTCTCATTTATTAACAGGAAATCAACCTTTTTTGTGCCTTTCTTTCTTCTTTAAGCGTGTCTTTTAAGGCCTGGTAAAAATTCGACTTCATCTACCATGTAGTAATTATAAGAGCCTGGTCTATCAAAATCAAAACCATTTAGCATTTATCTGTTGGATAGAAAATCTGTTTCAAATATCTGGGGATATTGGCTACTTTTTCTAGTTCCCAGAGACATAGTATATGCATATGAACCATATATAATTTTCTAGTGGATTCTGTATCTTAAAGAGATGTGACATGCTCATCCTCTGACTAGTCACAAGAAAATCCCATCTTGCTAGCCAGCTGAGGAGTTGGGAACCTCACTCTTGCTATTACAAGGAGCAGTGTGATCAGGAAAGATGAGAACTGGTGTTACAGGAAGACAAAAGGCCCAATGATCACCACTATCTGCTTGCTTCATTTTGAAAACTGATTACAGTCCAATCTCTTCAGCATGAGGCACCGGGTAAGAAGTGGCCACCACTGAATTTACTTGCACCTCGGAGATAATTTGGGAGGCCTGCAGACTGGCCAAGTAGCTATTCCTGGGAAGGATCAGTATCAAGTAAACTTTCAGAAGGAGATTCCCCTCTTCCTTATGG